TGCTTGAAATATTTTTTTCCATCCCTTTATTTTCAGTTTGTGTAGGTCCTTAGTTCTGAGGTGGGTCTCTTTTAGGCAGTATATGTGTGTCATATTTTCTAATCTATTCAGCTACTCTGTGTCTTTTGATTGAGGAATTTAATCCATTTACATTTAGAGTTATTATTGATAGGTACTTATTCAGTGTTTCCCTCTGTACCCGTGTTCCTCTCTTTCTCACTCTTTTTCTTCATCTTCTAAAGTGGTCCTTTAATATGTCTTGCAGTTCTGGTTTATGGAGGTCTATTCTTTTAACCTTCTTTTGTCTTGGAAATTCCTTATTTAACCCTCCATATTAATGGACAATCTTGCTGGGTAGAGTAGTATTTGTTGCAGGCCCTTCCTTTTTGTGACTTGGAATATTTCTTGCCATTCCCTTCTGGCTTGCAGTGTTTCTGTTGTGAAGTCAACTGGTAGCCATACCAGGGCTCCCTTGTATGTTACTCTCTGTTTCTCCCTTGCTGCCTTTAAGATTCTCTCCTTGTTTTTGATATTTGCCATTTTAAATATGGTGTGTCTTGGAGTGGACCTCATTAAGTTCCTCTTGAATGGGACTCTCTGTGCTTTCTGGGGTTGCATGACTTTTTTCTCCTCAAATTAGGGAAATTTTCCATCATTAGTTTTTCAAACAGGCTCTCTTTCCTTTGCTTTTCTTCTTCTCTCTGTGGTATCCATATTACATGGATATTATTTTATTTCAGGTTTTCCTGCATTTCCCTAAATGTCTCTTCATTCTTTTTGAGCCTTTTTTCCTTTTCTTGCTCTTTCTGGAAGCTTTTTTCTACCTTGTCATCCAACTCGCTGATTCAATCATCTGCTTCATCTAGGCTGCTTTTGATTCCTTCTGCTGTGTTCTTCAATTCAAAAATTGTTTACTTAATTTCCTCTTGTCTCTTATTGATAGTTTCTATGTCCTTTTTCTTGCTGATATAGTTTGCTGTAAGTTCCTCATAGTAGTTTTCCTGTCATTTTTGGTAAATCTCTCTGAGCTCCCTGAGCTCACCTAGCTTCCTTGGTACCATTGTTTTGAACTCAATATCTGATAGTCTACTTGCATCTGTTTCATTTACTTCTCTTTCTGAGAACTCCTCTGTTCTCTTCGATTGGTGTGTGCTTTGTCTTCCCGTTGTTTGTGAGACTCTTTTTTTTTTTTTTTGCTTCTGCTTCCTAATTTGTTCTGTCTTGACTTCCTGATTTTGTGGTGTAAACTTCTGTGGTAGGATACCTGTGAGATTCAGTGGTGCTGTCTCCTGAACTTGCTGTTCTTTGGATGACATTTATGTTGGCTTTCTGGAAGTAATTGGGTTTTGATTGTTGTTTTTTCATTCTTTGGTGATTCCTTCCCTCTGGCTCGGTGACTGGGGGTCACTCTGCCCACCATGTCTTGTGTGATTTTGTGCAGGTGCTTCCTGAGCAAGACCACAAAGATTGGGCAACAAATCCACATCTGCAAAAAATAACTTCCCCCTGTAATCCCACTATCAAGAGCAAATGAATCATCATTAATAAGGTTTTAACGAGATTAATACTATTATGAGAAACGAAAGGAATAAACTATTAGTATAATATCTAATGACTTAATGTGCACAAACATGATGGACCCGAACTGAATGTTAAAAAGCTATGTAGTAAAGAAAATATCACAAATCATGGATAAGACCACAGTGGATTTCATTTTAGTAGCCTCTAGTATTTACTGCTGTTTTTATTTCTGGACCTACTTCCGATGATGTTAGATGTTGACCTCGTCTGTCTTAGGCAGTCTGTTCAAGACTTCCAGGAATGTACGGACTGTGGCTTTCTTCTTCAGTTGTTAATCTAGTACTCTGCAGTCAGCAGTCAGGCTTAGGCACCACAGGGTGGGGCAGAGTCCTTCCTGGAGGCAGGGCTATTGTTTCCTTTCCTGCTGTTCCTGCTCAGGGTGTGGTCTGCCTGAACAAGATGGCTGCTGCTGTTTGGGGGCTGACTCAGCAGTGGACCCCTCTGGCTACTCCCTCAGTTCTCTACCCAATGCCTCCATATATAGTCTCTCATCAAACGTCTCTAGACCACTCCATGCCCCTTTTATCCAGGGATCTACTAGCTGTGGCTGCAACTCTGTACTCAGCAGTCAGGCTTAAGCAACACAGGGCCACAGTAGAGTCCCTCCTGGGGGTGGGGCTATTGTTTCCTTTCCTACTGTTGCCTCTCAGGGGAGTAGTCTGCCTGAGCAATATGGCTGCTGCCATATGGGGGTGACCCAGGTCCAGGATCCCACTGGCTACCCCTTCCTTTCTCTCCCCAAAGCTTCTTTCCTTAGTCTTTCCTCGGGCATTTCTAGTCCACTCTGCCCCTGCCTTTCCTGGAACCCAGGGTAAGTGGCTGTAAATAAAAATTTATGCGTTCACCCTTTTAATGGCTCTTTGCATCTCCAGCTGCTCTTCTTTTGCAGAGAGCAATCCTGCCACTTTTCACAGCTGACTGTTATTGTGTACTTTTTGGGCTCTGGTGCTGTAGGTTGGGCATCCTTGCTTATGGTTTAGACTACACTCTTCTCAGGAGTATCCAGCTGGCTGTTTAAATATCTCTCTGTCTGTGCTGCCCATGACCTCTCAGCTGGACTTCTCAAGTCTCCACCACACTCCTTACCAGTCATGTTATGCCAAAGCTGTTTCTTCTGTCTGTCTGCCTGAGGTTATAAGGCTTCTCTCTTGCTATTGTTCAGTTGTTGTTTTTCTGGGTGATTTCTCCACATTTTAGTCATAATTCTAGATAGGTCCTGGGAGGAGGTCAGTGTGACTTCCATTTACTTCTATGGTGTCTTGCCGTCCTCTGTCTGTGATTTTAAGGCTTCTCTCCAGCTAGTGTAGAGTTGGTTATTCATAAATATTTCCCTACAATTTAGTTGTAATTCCAGATTGGTCCTGAGAGGAGGTTAGTATAGCTTTTTCTTACTCCTCTACCATCTTGGATCTCAAAAGTGATTTTTGATAGTTGCTTAATATGTCATTGTATGACTGACTATACTGTAATGTCAACTCTCTGATTCAGGTTTTCTTGTATTTTATTAGTACTAATAATATTGCCATGTAATTCTTGTAGTTTAATCTGTGTGCACATTTTTCATTATAACCTCAGGATACATTCCAAAAATGAAATTGTAGAGCCTAGGAGTAAATGTGTGCTTTAAAGATTGACAACATTCTCTCTTTAAAGGCTATTTGTCTATCTATACCAGTTTCACTACAGGTAATTATTAATATGTATTTCATTGTTTTGATCATTATTTTTTTCCTTATTTTACATTCCTTCTTTATTATGAATGGTAGCCTAGAATTGTTTATTCAGTAAATAGACATTTAATGGACATCTATTCAAGCATCAGGTACTTGAAATTCAAATATAAAATATAGAGTCTATCTCTGACCCCAAGAAGGTAACAAATTGGTGTGTGTGTGTGTGTGTGCGTGCGCGCTCGCGCGCTTGCGCATGTGTGTGTACAGTCATTCTTTTACTTTCCCAGTGGATTGTCAGTGATTCCATCCCCAAATTTAGCTACTGATACAGGATCACTCATTTTTAATTTTACTAAATATACAACCAGGCGAACAATATTACTTTAAGAGATGAATATCATATTATCATAAAGAGCATTTTGAATACAAAAATGAAAAGGATATGATAGTTTTAAATAAAGCCTCTTAAAAGCAATAAATTCTGCTTTTAAAAAAGGTACTCTACTGCTCTCATGTGTTTCATTCTATTGTGGACAATAAAAACTTTGTCATGGCAGAATTTAACAATCACAATTCACTTTTCTTTGAAAACTAGTAAAGAATAAATACTCTGATCTTTTATCTCAGAAAGTATGTTTGGATTAAATTAAAAATTCAGCAGATATTCAGAGGGAAACATAATCTCCTTAAGACAAATCTGTACTCTTAACTCTTCAAGCAGATAGTTGACCAACATACTAACGTGTTGTTTCTCTCAACACGGTAGTTGAGAGAAACAAAAGTAAAGAGAGTTATGCCAGAGGGATGGGATATAGATGGGGCACTGGAGATTGTTGTAGGGCAGGTGCAAAAAGAAACAGAATGAACTACTCACATCTTGGAAAAGAACATTCATGAAAATTGGAAGAGTCAAACACAATAACCTGTGCACTTTTTGTAGTCTACCCTCTATTTTTATTCCTTATACTTACTACTCTCCACATTGTGTCATATCTTTATTTTACATAAATATTTATTGAGACATCATTAATGTGTGGCTCTTTTCTGGACCCTGGTATAAAATTAGAGAACAAAACAGAAACATCTACCTTCTTGAATGTTCCATTATTGTGTCTGCCTTTCTTTTTGACTAATTGATTTTAATTTTTAAAATATTTTATTTTATTTTTTTTCAAGAGAAAATATTTTAGTATTTAATAGCATTAGTCAATAGCTACTGATTCAAAAGTTGAAAAGTATGTTCTGTTAAATGCATGCATTCAAATTATTAAAAATACTTGGAATTACAACAAAATTCTATTTTGCCCATTTTGTAATTAGATAAACAGAATTATAGTGAGTTCAATAATTAGAAATATGCCAAAATAATGTCATAACTGCATAAATACATCAAAATCTCTTGGTTTCATTGTCCTCAGAAACCCAGGAAAACCACTCAATTAATGGCCACTTGCCTTTTTCATCAGACACCATTCTTTTTGATTTTGTCATCTACTGAACATACAGTATCTTTCCCTGACCATTTTTGTTTTACTGAAAAGAAAAAAAATATTTTTCTTGGAAACAAAATGAATTAATATAATAGCTGCTAAAATTTCACTTGAAATTCTAGGAAGTTACAAATCTGCACAAATACATTACCTTTAATATAGCTAGTGCATAATAGAAGTTTTAAGAGTAATTGTTGGGAAAGCTAATGTTAAGTAGAAACATTGATTAAAGTATGCTCACTAAAAAAGTCCTGTCATCAACATTTTTATTTAGTTCATTATATGGCAGAATATAATACATAACAATATGCCCTTTCTTATCACAGGTAGTCTTTTGTGTAACTAAAATTTGTAGCCAACATTTTACGTAACAAAAGAAAACTAAATCTGTAAATTATCAGAAAAGAAACAAGGATATGGGAAAATAATACATTTTATATAAATTATAGAGGACAGTTAACGATGAAAATCCATCACTTTCCTTTCTATTTCAGTTTTACAAAATAAAGTCAACTTGTATTATGCTATGACCTGCAAAGAGGGCATAAACTTGGTGGTCCTTTCAAAAGACAGTGGTCATGGGCAACATGTTATCTCGATGTCATAGCTTGTTCTTAGTTCTTAACTGGAGTTGAGCTTCCTTTCATAGTCTTTTTTAAATGGTGGTAGTTTGACAAGATTTTCATCAGGAAATCCAGCTGTAGTGTCTGGGGCTGCGGTCGCTCAGTCTGCACCCGACGAAGACAGTCCACACCATAGACCACTGTATTCTCAGGGATGACTTCAAATGTGTTTAGGTTGCAACATGCCCCAATGATGCAACCGCTTGTCAGTATTACGTTTCTGCCTACATACGCTTTTGATTCAATAACATTATTATCTCCTATTTTCATCGCTTGGGAATAACAGCCAACTTCAAATACATTATTGGTGCCAATAATCATAGGTTTGGGGTCTGGATCTTCGGTGTCAGGGGTGATATTGTCAGGGTGAGCATTTATGATCAGCGCCTGTTCCTCTATTAGGTTACCTCCACCAATCACGATTGGTCCGGCCTCCGCAATGGTTCGCGCTTTAGGGTGGATCACTGTCCTAGGACCTATAGTTACGTCACCCCTGATTTCACTTTCTACACACACAACTGCTCCAGGAGCGATCTTCACACTCTCTCGTGTCTTCTCCGCCATAGTTTTGTCCGGGTCTCCAATTGATTTTTAAAATATTTTAAATTAAATTTATTGGAGTGGCATTGCTTAATAAGGTTATATAAGTTTTATTTTTTTTCATTTTAAATTTTCATCTTGTTTTTTTTCATTTTTTTAAATACATTTGTCCCTGCATCCCCCCCACCACTTTCCCTTGCCCCCTCCTTCCTTACCTCACTCAGCTCTGAACCTTTGGTTTTGTCCATGAGTCCTTGCTGTATGTTCCTTGACTTTCCACTTCCCTTCCCTTTTCCTGGCCCCTCGTCCTTCCCTCTTGTCTCTGTTGATTTCTTTTACTTTCGGTATTGCTGGTCATATTTTCCTCACATCTCTGTATTGTTGGTTAGGGTCTGCTTATAGGTGAGATCATATGGTATTTGTCTTTCGCCCATTGGCTTATTTCGCTTAGCATAATGCTCTCCAGTTCCATCCATACTGTCGTGAAGTTTAGTAGTTCTTTTTTTCTTTTTGCTGAGTAGTATTCCATTGTGTATATGTACCATGACTTTTTGATCCAATCATCTACTGATGGGCATTTAGGTTGCTTCCAACCCTTGGCTATTGTCAATTGTGCTTCTATGCACATTGGGGGTGCGTAGGTTCTTTTGTATTGGCGTTTTGGCGTTCTTAGGGTATAGACCCAGCAGGGGAATCACTGGATCAAAAGGCAGTTCCATTTTCAGCTTTTTGAGGAAATTCCACACTGCTTTCCACAGTCACTGCACCACTCTGCATTCCCACCAACAGGGGACTAGGGTTCCCTTTTTTCCACAGCCTCGCCAGCACCTGTTTGTTGATCTGTCTATGATGGCCATTCTGACTGGTGTGAGGTGTTAACTCATGGTGGTTTTGATCTGCATTTCTCCAGTGATGCTGAGCATCCTTTCAAATGCCTCTGGGCCCTCTGTATTTCCTCCTTGGAAAAGCATCTGCCCAGGAACTTTGCCCATTTTTTGATTGGATCATTAGTCTTCTTGGAGTGGAGTCAAGTGAGTTCTTTATATATCTTGGAGATCAAACCTCTATCTGATGTATCATTAGCGGATATATTTTCCCATAGAGTTGACTCCCTTTTCATTTTGCTGATGTTTTCTTTAGCTGTGCAGAAGCTTCTTATTTTGATGAGGTCCCACTTGTTTATTCTTTCCTTTATGTTCCTTGCTTTAGGAGACATATCAGTGAAAAAAATTGCTGCGTGGGATATCTGAGAGTATCCTGCCAATGTTCTCCTCTAGGACTTTTATGGTGTTGCGACTTATATTTCTTTTATCCCTCTTGAGTTTATTTTTGTGTATGGTGTCAGCTGATGATCCAATTTCAATTTTTTGCATGTAGCCGTCCAGATCTCCCAACACCATTTATTGAAGAGACTATTATGGCTCCATTTTATGCTTCTTCCCCCTTTGTCAAATATTAGATACCCATAGAGACCTGGGCTTATTTCTGGACTTTCTATTCAGTTCCACTGGTCTATGGGTCTGTTCTTGTGCCAGTGCCAGATTGTTTTGAGTATAGTGGCTTTGTAGTAGAGTTTGATGTCCGGTATTGTGATCCCTCCTACTTTGTTTTTCTTTCCAAAAATTGCTGCAGCTATATGGGGTCGTTCACGGTTCCATATAAATTATTGAAACGTCTGATCTATTTCTATGAAATATGTCATTGGTATCTTAATAGGGATTGCATTGAATCTATATATTGCTTTGGGTAGTATGGACATTTTGATGATATTAATTCTTCCAATCCATGAGCATGGTATATGCTTCCATTTATTTGTGTCTTCCTTAATTTCTTTCTTCAATGTTGTATACTTTTCTGCATACAGGTCTCTTACGTCCTTGGTTAAATTTATGCCTAGGTACTTTATTTTTCTTCTGGCTATATCGAATGGTATTTTTTCTCTGATTTCTTCTTCTACTATTGCATTAGTAATGTACAAAAATGCCTTTGATTTCTGAATGTTGACTTTGTATCCTGCTGTTTTGCCAAATTCACTTATTAGGTTGAGGAGTTTTTGGATAGAGTCTACAGGGTTTTCTATGTACACTATCATGTCATCTGCAAACAATGATAGCTTTACTTTCTCCTTTCTTATTTGGATGCCTTTTATCTCCTTCTGTTGTCTGACTACTATGGCTAGGACTTCCAATACGATGTTGAAAAGAAGTGGTGAAAGCAGACATCCTTGTCGTGTTCCCGATCTTAGTGGGAAAGCTTTCAGTTTTTGCCCGTTGAGTATGATATTGGATGTAGGTTTTTCATACATGACCTTATTCCATTGAGGAATGCCTCATTTATTGCCATTTTGCTTAGAGTTTTGATCATAAATGGGTGCTGTACTTTATCGAATACTTTTTCTGCATCTATAGAGATGATCATGTGGTTTTTGTCTTTTCTTTTATTTATGTGATGTATCACGTTTACTGATTTGCATATATTGAACCATCCCTGCATCCCTGGGATGAATCCCACTTGATCGTGGTGGATAATGTCTTTCATGTTGCTGGATGTGGTCTGCCAATATTTTAGTGAGGATTTTAGCAATTATGTTCATCTGTGAAATTGGCCTGTCATTTTCTTTCTTTTAGGATCTTTATCTGGTTTTCGGATCAGGGTGATGCTGGCATCATAGAAAGAGTCTGGGAGTCTTCCCTCCTCTTGGATTTTTTGGAATAGTCTGAGAAGTACAGGGGTTAGCTCTTCCTTAAGTGTTTTGTAAAATTCTCCTGTGAAACTGTCCGGCCCTGGGCTTCTGTGCTGGGAGTTTCTTGATTACTGTTTCAATTTCCCCAGCTGTTATCAGTGTGTTCAAGCTTTCTGTTTCTTCCTCCTTCAGTGTTGGAAGATTATACTTTTCTAAAAATTGTCCATTTCATCAAGGTTTTCAATTTTTTTTGGCATATAATTGTTCATAATAGTTTCTGATGATCATTTGTATTTCTGTGGTATCAGTAGTTATTTCTCCTCTTTCATTTCTGATATTATTAATTTGGGTCCTCTCCCTTTTTTTCTTGATGTGTCTGCTTAAAGGCTTGCCAATTTTATTTATCTTTTCAAAGAACCAGCTTCTGGACTGACTGATCCTTTGAATTCTTCTTTTCATCTCTATGTCATTCAGTTCTGCTCTCATCTTGACTATTTCCTTCCTTCTCCTTGCTCTGGGATTTATGTGTTGTTGTTTCTCCAATTCTTGAAGTTGTAGTGTTAGGTCTTTTATTTGAAATGTTACTATCTTCTTAGGTAAGCCTGTATTGCTATGAACTTCCCTCTCAGGACTACCTTTGCTGTGTCCCATAGGTTTTGGACTGTTGTCTGTATATTTTCATTTGTTTCCAGAAATGTTTTGATTTCTCTTCTTATCTCATTATTGACCCATTCATTGTTTAATAGTGTACTGTTCAGTGTCCATGAGTTTGCAAGTTTTTGACGTTTCTCTTTGAGGTTGATTTCGAATGTCAAGGCCTTGTGGTCTGAGAAAAAGTTTGGTATTATTTCAAGTTTCCTAAATTTGCTGAGGTTTGCTTTGTGTCCTATCATGTGGTCTATCTTTGAAAAACTGCCATGAGCATTTGAAAAGAATGTGTATTTTTCTTTTTTGGGATGTAAGGTTCTATATATGTCAGTTAAGTCTCTTTGATTCAGTGTGTCATTCAGCACCATAGTATGTTTATTAATGTTTTGTTTCAAAGATCTGTCCATTTTTGAGAGTGGGGTGTTGAAATCCCCTACTATCAGTGCTTTGCTGTCTATATCTTTTTTGAAGTCATCCAACAATTTCCTTATAAACTTGGGGGCTCCTATATTGGGAGCATATAAGTTTACAATGTTGATGTCTTCTTGATAGATTCTTCCTTTAATTATTATAAAGTGCCCCTCTGGGTCTCTCTTTATGGCCTTTGTTTTGAAATCTACTTTGTCTGATACAACTATGGCAACCCCGGCCTTTTTCTCATGCCCATTTGCTTGGAATATTTTTTTCCATCCCTTTACTTTCAAACTTTGTTGGTCTCTAGCTCTGAGGTGGGTCTCTTGTAGGCAGCATATGTGTGGGTCATGTTTTCTTATCCATTCAGCTACCCTGTGTCTTTTGATTGGAGCATTTAGTCCATTCACATTGAGAGATATTACTGATAGAAACTTACACATCTTTTCTCTTTGTACCTGTGTTCCCCTCTCTCTCATTCTTTTCCTTCATCTTTTTAAATCAGTGCCCTTAGAATATCTTGGAGTGCTGGTTTGGTAGAGATGTATTCTTTTAGTCTTCTCTTGTCTGGGAAACTCCTTATTTCCCCTTCTTTTTTAATGGAGAGCCTAGCTGGGTAGAGCAGCCTTGGCTGTAGGCCCTTGCTTTACATGGCTTGGAATATTTGTTGCCATTCCCTTCTGGCTTATAGTGTTTCTGTTGAGAAGTCAGCTCCTAGGCGTATCGGGGCCCCCTTGTATGTTACTTTCTCCTTCTGCCTTGCTGCCTTGAGGATTCTCTCTTTCTCTTTGACATTTGCCATTTTAATGATGATGTGTCTTGGAGTGGACCTCCTTGAGTCCCTCTCGAGTGGGGTCCTATGTGCCTCCTGGGTCCATGAGAGCCTTTCTCTCCTCAAATTAGGGAAATTTTCTGTCATTACTTTTTCGAGGAGGTTCTCTATCCCTTGCTCCTGGTCTCCTTCTGGTATCCCTATTATGCGAATATTACTGCGTTTCAGGTTGTCCTGCATTTCCCTAAATGCCTCTTCATTCTTTTGGAGTCTTTTTTTTTCCATTTCTTGTTCTTTCTGGGAGCTTCTCTCTACCTTATCCTCCATCTCACTGATTCGATCCTCGGCTTCATCCAGCCTGCTTTGGATTCCTTCTACTGTGTTCTTCAATTCAGAAATGGTATTCTTCATATCGTCTTGTGTCTTCTTGATAGTTTCTATGTCCTTTTCCAGGCTGATATAGTTTGCTGTAAGATCCTGATAGTTTCTCTGCAGTTCCTCATAGTTATCTTTCAGCTGGCTGAGCT